ATCCCAAGCTTTGGTGTGGGTCAAAATCTAGTAAAATTACTAATTTCAAAACTTAGTTTGTTTCACATTAGATAATTAAAATGTTTAATTTTTTATTTTCATGTGTAATTACATAACAGTTAACTTGAAAGGCCTATTTCACTAGTTGATCTGCTTGCATGCACTAACCCGTTAAAGGTCACCAGCTTAGATTCATTTGTCCTCTATATTAATTAGCTAATCATCTGTTCCAAAAACAAAACTAACGGGTTTACACCTTAAATTAGGTAGTCGAAGAACTTAAATAAGTATATAACATATATAGAATTTATGAAGGGATAAAAATGAATATCCAGAAACCAATTTAGCAAAAAATTAACGGCATCGAGTGTTCTACGGTTTCTGCCATGGTATACATATACCATTCAAGGAAAACACGAGCATTTATTTTAATAAAATAGTAATAAAAAATGGGATACAATTGTGTGTCCCTAATAGTAATAACCCTGCTCGTTGTGATTACATCGCCCGTGGTATTCGGTAACGATGCGGCACCAATTCCTCAGAACAAATTAGGAATTGAGCAGTGGTTCAAGACCAATGTTCCTTCGTTGGCTAGTAGAAAAGGCACACTAGATGGAGCTCTATTGACCGCAGAAACTGCGCCGCGCGTCATTAAGGCATGACAATATTAAAAAAAAACATTAGTTTCATTCAGTGAAATATAATCCGGTCAGCGCAAAAGTCAACGATTTTTGTGTCTAGCCGGCCGCAAACTAATGCATGATATTGGATTGGTTATTTGTTCAAGAAAATGATTTTGGTATCTACGAATGCAGGTGAGACAAAATGGAAAAGGCCATTTCAAGACCTTAACCGAGGCGATAAAGAGTGTACCCGCAGGGAACACAAGGCGCGTGATCATCAAGATAGGTCGTGGTGTATACAAGGAGAAGATCACGATCGATAGAAACAAACCCTTCATTACACTGTACGGTCATCCAAATGCAATGCCGGTATTGACATATGACGGTACCGCGGCCCAATACGGGACAGTCGATAGCGCAACTCTCATTGTCTTATCCGATTATTTCATGGCCGTTAACATCATCGTTAAGGTATATATACTTTTATATATATCACAAGAATTGTGACCTTTCATATTAGTCCGGAAAACTTATGATATAATTACATTAGAAGTACTTAACGACATTTTTTTTAAAAAAACAAAAAATTGGTGTATGTTTGCAGAATTCTGAAAAAACAAAACTCTAAAACGTTTAAATTGGTGCTTGTTTTCAGAATTCTGCTCCGATGCCGGATGGTAAGAGGAAGGGAGCACAAGCCTTATCTATGAGAATCTCCGGAAACAAAGCAGCTTTCTACAACTGTAAATTCTACGGTTATCAAGACACGATTTGCGACGATGCCGGAAATCATTTCTTCAAAAATTGTTACATCGAAGGGACATTTGATTTCATCTTTGGAAGCGGACGCTCTTTATACCTCGTACATAACCTAATCTTTCT